TTGATATTACTTGATACGCGGTTTTAACTTTAAATTACGTTTTACAATTCTGTATTAATCCAATTTAGTCTAGAGTTAAAGTAGGTTATTATCGTTGCACTTTGAACATAACGTTGTTTGAATATTATTTCGGATAATAATGAATTATATATGAAAGCTTGGAAATTGTAAATCTGAAGCGATATTGCATTAAATCATTTATATCTATTTAAACAGATGCATATGTAATAGATAAATAATATATTATTAATAACATAATAATATCATAATATTATCATGATATAATATATTATTAATAATATAATATTATTTAAAAGTGCAGAAATTGATTTCCAATTGTATTTAAAATGAGGATTAATTCCATTCTAACGCGTTATAATTTTTTATTGCCCGCAAATATCAATATATCTCCCTGCGGAATACATTGCTGGACTATGTTTTGTTTCGTGTACCGCAACGTGTTGATATGCTAAGTGAAACTTTGTATATAGTTTGCAAATCAACGGCATACCGTTGTTCGAAGGTTCTTGTTCATTCGAGTTGTTGGGAACTTGACGATCACGTTCTCGTTGTCATAAAGAACGCTTTATCTGGAGTATAAGTTTAACAAATAAAAACATTGTTAATATTGAAACGTCAAATGTATACCAGCACAAATGTTTATCTCTAATTTCTTTACTTTTAGGTATTAGAAATTTGATTTTATTTATAGGTTTCGTGTATATATATTATAGACACTAAAATTAATGTAAATTATTAAATTATAAAATATTTAAAGCGCAACATCAGAAAACAAGTTAAATAAACATCCATAGTTTTACTATATTTTGCATGTAATGAATATATAAGTTACATAACATTAGAAAACAAGTTAAAAACATTCATAATTTTTTATATTTTTTATATTTTTTATATTTTGCATGTAATGAACGTACAAGTTTAACATAAAAACTAATATGATGATATGCGCTGAATATTTTATAATGATTATCGGGATATGTTATGATTTAACAATATGTTGAATATTCGATGCATTAATTATATACAACGCGCGATTTGACGCAATACGATCACGCTTGTGGTGCGATTAACTGGTTAGCATGAAAATTACAAATACATATATAATTTATAGTTAGATCAACATTATCTATCATGCGATTTATCCATCGCTATCGATATACGAGCATATCGCATCGCGATATGACTTCAATCGTTGCGAATTAGTCATTGCCTATAAAATATATGCATTGATTATGCTATTAATATTGGGATAATTAATATATGAATTAACAAATACACCGGATATTCAAAATTATAGATGTATAAATATATGCTGATTTATGTCCTTAACATCGTTTGCCATTGTAGAAACATTTTGTCTTATAATCGAATAATGATTATACAATGACGATAATCTAAAGTGTGAAGTTTTAATTTGATTTAAATATTTTCACACGAAAATTAAATAATATTGCGGCACTGTTGAGTTTGCATAGAACGCATAATCTTTTTAATGATTTATAAATTCTTCTTTGCGAAAAATTTTAAAATTTCTTTTTTCTTTATACATCTTTTTACCTTATTATAACTTTTTAATAAGCTACTTTTTTAGAGATTCTGTTGACCGTTATACTTATCTATGCGGATATTATTTTATGGTCGTCTAGCAGCAATCATAGCCATTTTTTTATAATAAAACTTTCAAATTAAAAAAAATTATATAATGCGCTATAAATTTTAGTATTATAATTACTTTTTTAATTCTTGCAGCACATACATTTTTTTGCTTTTAGTTGTTTCAAAATGCTTAAAAAATTTACAAAATTTTACATAAATATCTTGACATATAGAAAAAGATCATGTACAACAAAAGTTAAAAAATAAATATTAAACATTTTTCTATTGATTAAGAGATATTCGTTATATATAATATGGATAAGTTACTCGATGACAACACTTTTTTCACTCTGTTTCTGGTCACATATTTATCATATTTTGTCGCAGTTTTAACTGTCATTTTGGCTTATATGTGACTTTTAAGAATTAGTAGTAGTTAATGATTAATCTTTGCGCGAAAAGATTACCTAGTACACTTGTATATTTTATTGTAGTACAATCTGCATTTGTGAAAGAGGACTTAATGCAAGAAATTCAATTTTTTTTTTACGATAATTGCCTTCGATTTTTTGATCGCGTTTGGTAGACGTTTAATTGTCAGAATTTAGTTACTACGTGCGTATTGAACGTACGCGTACGTGGTTCTTGTCCATTGAATTGGGAGAGTCGCGGATTCAGGTGTACAAATTCCATTTTCCATGTGTATGTATAGAAACGTGATTCACATGGACGATCAACTGTCGCACGTGCCTGCGTAGGTGTGAGAATTTGATCCATCCTTCAAGTTCAGTACGAGGTAGGCGTCAGACCGTGATCCTTTACAGAGGAGATCATCCAGACGGTTAGAAGTTGTAATTACAAGATTACTTCAATGAATAATTTGCACTGTAGTGCAAAATATCTGCTCTTAACTAAAATTTACATCGAAATTTATCAAAAAATACGAGATAAAAAAAAATATATATATATATATATATATATATATATATAAAATCAGTATTAATTACATTTAATGTAATGATGTTTAAAATTTTTGCTTACTGTTGCTTTTATATATATATATTACGCACGCCTCTTTCTCATCAATAAATTTACATTTCTGAATTTAGAATGGAACGTTTACTATGTATATTTTGTTTAACAAAATGTAAAAGAATATTGAGAAAATTTAAGATTAACTCATCTTATGTAGAATAAAATTTCCACACATAAATAGCTTTTTGAGAAAGAATGTTTTTTAAAAGATTGTTTCTGGTATAATAAAGCTTAGAGAACGCCGAGGTAAGCGATAGTTGTAAAATAAGAAGAGTAAAATTCAACAAAAATTTAAAAAAAGTTGCACTTGTGTAAAAAATTGTCAATATAAAAATTGTCGTTTTTTTTTTTTTAATTAAGCTCTTTAAATCTTTTTTAATACTTGATCAACATCGGATGGATATCGGAAGACTTTGTAAACATCAAATTAATGACATTAATAATGTGAATAGCCGTATTCTCGCCATATAATGAAAATTAAGGTCTCTTTAAAAGTCTTTGTTGTATTTTGCATTATTTTATAGTGCATTGCAACATTACTGGACACTATTTAGCCATGTAACATTACAAACATGCCACACCGTTGTATATGACAGTGCTAAAGTTAGAGAAATTAATAGTGCGTTGCAACTTTGCTTTAATCCTTGTGCTGTAAAAATATCTAACTTTGTTAAGTAATTAACTTATACCCGAGTTTTATAATCCTGAGTATATTCAATGTCACATTAAAATGTGTTTTATTGCACATAAGCTTTCTGTGTGCGTGTCTATTGTCAATTAAGATATACTTATCACTATTTTTCATCCCTACTTAATTTTTCTCTCACGTTGTGATACGTGAACACAGTAAAGAGATAAACATATAATTTATACAAAAACGTGTGCTGTGAAAATTATAAATGATTGCTTCTTCACATGTACTGCTCCCATATATTTGAAATTTAGCACAACTTGGAGATGGCGATGTAAAAAAAAATCTCGTGTATAAATCAACGCGATACTCTATTATCGCGTAAGGAAATATCTAAGAATGAGCTTTACGAGCTTTTGTCGCGCGTGGGAGAACGCGCAAACCGCCCAGTTTACGCTCAATCGCGCGCGCGTTATCGAGCGTTAGAGAACGCGGTCATATTATGCATATTAATTGTAACACGACGCAATAGAGCTCTGACGAATTCAACGCACATGCGAGCTAATGCGTTGAAACGCAGGAATAGGAACATAGGGGTGAGAAACTTGTCACACGCGTGTAAATAAGGCGTAATGTATGGGGCTTAAACTGTGAGGCCGCGGGCCCGGGGATTACCTCCCCTTTCCCTCCAGCCCTTTGCGCAAGCCGCGCACGCACCCTTTCCCCTTCGTAAATGGAATGCAAAGTACATTCGTGCGTAAATCATGCGATAGAAACGGCTCGGTAATCCATTGCCCGCGGCGCCGGCCGGCGTAAATCGAGAAGATTGTGACAATGATTCAACGCAGGTTTATGGCACTCCGTGTAATTAAGTCGTATCCGAATGGTATTACGCATGCAAACGTCGCGCTGAATTCGCGTTCGCGCACCGTCGCCGCTTGCGGATGTAATCGGATTGTCCCGGGGAATTCTATGCCCGTTGTAAGTTTCCTTCGCATATTTGTCCGCTGTATCATTTTTTTTTATTCTTTTTTTCCTCTCGTTAACTTAATGTCGTACGACGAGGGTTAATTTTTCGCCACGTGCGAAAAATTGCCATACGCGCGTTATTTGTGACGCAATTAAGCGCCCATCTATGTTCTTGTCCTGCGAAAGAATATCTAGACATCAAAATGATTTTGTGCTAAGCAATTTTTTTTTTTTTTTTTTATTTAAGCTTGCTTTTTATCATATGTGTATGTGTAAAAATTATACAATTTTTTGACGAAACTATCTTATTTCTTTCATTATTTTCTTATAATTACAAAAGCAATATATTAATTATATATTAAACTTATTTAATAAACTTTTAACTTAAATCATAAAAAATTATATTAGAGAGTGTAATATTACAATAATAAACCTATCAATCAATGAACAATAATTGATACACATATGCACAACAATAATAAATAACACATATATATATGTTTATATTATTATAAAATGAAAATATTTCTGCAATCTCTTTCGTGTAAAATAGTCTAGGAATAGTTTCTTTTTTCGAATTTGGCGAAATTTTTAGGATTCGATGAATTGCAGCAGATTTCTTATGTGAGATGTCGACGATATCAAATATTAAAGTCTGGCATAAAGCCTGTCTTACGGCTTATCTTTTTTTCCACTATCTTTATCACTATCGTTAACTCTCGTTAATGTTCTCTTTCTTTTTTAACAGATGGGGGCGAACTGACTCGTGAAAGCAGAGCATGAATTCTCCCTACGAACCTTGTAAGGGGTAAGTCTACAGACAATTTTTAATTTGACAAATACATAATTTATAAAGGACTTCTCTTAATCCTGCTTATGACTTTAATGCAAACATTGAAGGGTTTTGAATCATGGATCTCGAATAAATTATGTATATCGGGGAATTTTTAATTTTTTGCGAAAAGATATTTTTCGATTGAGCGACATGTTTCTCGTGCAAAAACTTTAAACTATGTTATTAAATCTAGCGTTATTATTACGTGAAATATAACTTCTGCAATAACAAGAGTGTTGAAACGACAAACTTCGATTAATTGCTTCGAACGTGTTTTTTGAAAAGTTTCTACGTCCTTTACAATAACTTTTATTTTTGATGTTAGTTCCTACATGTGTTGAGCAATGGATTTTTTGCGTATTTTTTAACATTTATACGACGGTTGCCCATTAACTCTCTTTATTTCAGATTTAAGCACTCTTATGTACACATTGTTCGGAACTTATTTGCAATTCTACCGGCATCAACTTCCGCCTGGAGTCATACTTTTTAAAGTAGCTTTAAATATGCGTCAGTTACTGTGAAATTTATCTCACTTTGTGCCGTATTCTCGTAATATATTTTCATGATACGTTCAAAATTAAAACCTCATTAACAAAGTCAAATTTCAATTTAAAATTTTCTTTAGAATATATACTCTTAGCGTCATTAAGGAACGGAAATAAGAAGTCTAACAAAGACCTTAATACAGGGCTGATGGCAAAAAGCGAACTCGTAGTACGCGAAACTGTCACGAAATTAACCCATTTAAAAGTGCCGACTATCAGATGCAAATTACAATTTTTGCATCTTTAACAAGGCATCGTGGATTTCGACGGGAACAATTTTCGCAACAAAGTTTCGAAAATAAATAAAACTGTTTTCTCGCTCGCGAACGGTAGCACGGACCATATTCATGTTTTATCCTTAGTCTAGTTCGTAATGGGTATTGTACTTTTAATAGAAATTTTGTACTTTCAATGCTAACATAAGATTTATCTAATGTACGTTTAGTATTTGTATTAGTTTCGTACTAGTTTTGCACGCATGCGAATGAGAGAGAGAAAATTTTTCCTTTATAAAAAAAAAATTTATTCAAACATGCAAAAAAAATTTGTTCAAACGTGCAAAAAAAAATTATTCAAACGTGCAAAAAAAATTTGTTTACAGAGAGAAAACGAATTTCGGATAATGTGCGTAATACTTGATACGTCGCGTAATTCGCTATGTGAGAATAAATTCATCGAGAATCAATATACACATTTTGTAGATTAATATTTATCGAAATAACTATACTTCTTCTTCCCTTTTCCTCTCTCTCTCTCTCTCTCTTTCTCTCTCTCGCTTTATAGAAGTGCGTTGTAATTCTCATAAACTAGCACGTTATCGAATTAATGCGACCTGTATCAACGATGATACGCAAGTTTGCGTAAACATTTTGACACCGCTGAGAGTGCACAATTCCAAATTGTACAGCGACCTGGCGATAAGAGGAACGCGCCCCTTTCATCACAAACGAATATATCCGAAATTCGAAGTGGCGGGTGCAAGGACACATCTGGATCTTCAACAACTCGTGCTGTTGACACAGTCGTATCTTGCGTCTGCTATTCCCAAATGGCACCAATGATCTAAATTATCAATCATTTGCCATTAGTGGCACAAACTTCTCCCCCGAGACACGAGAGATGTACGTATTCAAAGTTTATGTTATCGTGAAGTTAGCTAATCCTATAAAATAACTATATTCCGATAGAAAGAAACTAAAATTCAGAATATTGCAATTGTATACTGAGTGATTTTATTGGCAGAATAGGCGATTATAATACGCGCGTGAAAAGTAATTTCAAAAACACTATTAACGCCTACTTATATAATGTCCTTTTCGTTTTAAAAAGTTAAAGGAAAGTTTTGAAGAATATCCGCGTTTCATAAATTGATTCTCTTTTAAAGATGGCCTAACAGGATTGACATGAAGTTCCACTCCTTATTCGCGATCCCCTTTAATTAAAGGTTTACGATGCATTCCCCTTCATTACGCGACGCATCGTGTCGGAACTCCCTCTGAGGGAATAGCAGTTCAAATTGCATGCAGTTACGCAATTACAAGGGTTAAGACGTTATCCTTAACGAGAATCCTCAAACTGGTCATTTAGTTCCCGACATAACGTTAAAGGCGATAGGTCGCGCCTTTCAGCGTTTTAAGGTGTTGACACAACGACTTCTATTTCGCAAATCACGACGTCTTTCTTGTATTCGCATTATAGCACTTTGCTTTTACAGCTGCTTCTCTCTTTCTCTTCCTCATTTCGTTCATTGTTATGTCAGCGTGTCGTCACCGGAAACAGCATGGGTTGACCCACATGCAACAACAATGCTTGCCGTCGACTAGCTGCAACGACCACATCGATCGTAGCTCTAGCTAAAGTTGCCTGGTGCGGCTTTGACTTCTCGTTCGCTATCCCCTCTGCCCCTCCCTCTCACCCCCCGGTATCTCTCCCTTTTCCGCTTCTCTTTGCCTGGTATATCTGTGTTTAGCCGTCCGTGGCTTTCTCTTTCCCGATAATGTTGAGCCTCCTTTGCTTAAGCAGTTTCCGGCACCGTGCAAACAGTTCCGGAGTTGATCGGACGGAGCGATTTCTTAGCGAATCTTTCCCGGATCGATCAATATCGTCGCCCGAGGTGAAATTCTGCTTTGAATTCAGTCGACCGTGTCCTAGGGAAGTGCGGACGACGAAGCGCGATTTGCTTGCCCGGAATTAAAATGCGCGCTCTGTATTTGCGGCAAAATGATAAAACGAATTTGTATTCTACGCCGCATTAATTAAACTGCATTTCATCGCGTTGAATATCATCGTGATTTCTCGACTCAATATGCGCTCGATTCGAAGAATCACGCGTGCTATTTGCCGCTACTTTATATGCATATCTCAGGAAAGGTTTACGGATTTCTTGAAAAATTTCTTTCAAGTTCTTGAAAGTTTGGCGTTTCTCGATAGTTATTCAAGTTGTCAATTCACCCTTTATTCGGAGATATGTAAATTTATATTTTATTATAGCAATATTGATGCACATTTACTTCAAATGTATTGTAGATGGTTCAGAATGGATGGTACGAGTGGGAGGAATGCATAAGTGGTCCCGAAATTTCACCCAAAATTTTAAACGCATCTTTGCAGTACATCGGTTGCTCGATAACATCTTGCTTTATATGCAACGCGAGATGCGTTCTGAAATATATAACTTTATTTTATTGCGATACGAGGGCGGAATATATCGCGATGAATATGAAACGAATCTGAAACTAACGTAATAATAAGCGAATTCACGTGCATCGGAATTACAAATTAGCTACTAATTATTGGTTTATTATAAACTTCGAATAATTTACTCGCATTTAGAAAATGAGAAATCCTAATTTCGAGTTTAGATACTTCATTATTCCGATACGAAAGTTTAATCTGAAAACGTGACAGTTTTAATATTCCGTTTTACCGATTTGCATAATCGGAAAATTCATTCCTAATAATTTGCAAAACGCCTGTGAAACAGAAAGTACATAAACTCTATTGTCTCTGGGATAATAAAGATTTCTTTTATCGAACACAATTAATTTTTTACAACGTTATAGTGATAAAAAATATAAAATTTTCTATATTTATTATTTGATTATTCAATACTTCTCTTGTGAAAGCTCATTATATATTCAGGTACTCAAAGGACACCAAATTCTAAAATACAAGATAACAGTACTGTCTCATTACGATTCAACTAAATTTGCTTCCTTGCACCTTTGGCTGTTGAGCACGATCGTGAATAGACATCTCGAGTAACAAAGCTGTTTTCGAGAAGGCTTCGTTAGCGTCGGAATCGGTTTGATTCTCATCGTGCTTCTGATTGTCTGAAGTCTTCGCTTTTCTGCATAGATGAGTAATATCGCTTAAAATGTAACGCGACTTTAGCGTCCACATTGATAATGACGTAAGATTGAGTAAAAAATTATAGGCCTATTTTAGCTTTAGTATAATTTTGTTTTCGATTTTTTTATGCCGGAAAAATAATAAATCGCAAAATATAACTGCTTGACGTGCGAAACGTCGGTTAATATGTCGGTGTGTAAGTAACTTTAATCGCGCCAGGATTTAACACTCGTAAAGTGGATCGATTTCGTTATCTCAGTGACGGTTCTACCTTTTTGGAAGAGAGCTTCGCTTGCTTTCTTCTTCTCTGGACGTCTTATCGGTCGCGCGTTTACGTGTCGTCGAATTAAATTCCAGATAATGCGCCAGATAAATTTGCTACCCCTGCTGTCGGTGCTGCTCGTTCGCCCCAGCGAATTTATCGTCCGCATTAATTTGACATTTAATTTTCCGCGACGCGTATTTCCGACACCTCTGCAATCCGCCGTTGATACGTTCCGAGTGAAACGTTGCGCTCCAGAATTATTTGTCGCGAGATTTCGTCGCCGACAATTTGTTTGTCGTGCAATTCCGTTCTGTCGCATTACCGGTATAATTGACCGGAATTGCCGCAGCGTCGCCTGAATCTGTGCAAAGGGGCTCGATCAGCCTGACGCTTTCATTTATCGAGATTCTTCTCCGAGCTCTTTTTTAGATATCGATGATTGTGCTGCGTCGATTGTATTCTCGAGTGCAGGAATATTTATGAGGGTCATTTGGTTATCGCCGTAAATATTGAAATTTATTGCAAGAGAATAGCTAGGCTGGAACAAAGATAGTATTTATTGTTCACGTATTATAATTTACTTTTTTTTTAGATCCGAGGATGATATTAAGAAGACAAGTACTTAATTCGTATAAAATATCTTAAGAAACATACGTTTAGGTAGGCTAAAGCAGAAGTTATTTGAGAAATATTTTAAACAAATTCATAATTAAAAAATAGAATAATTCTTTTAAAAAATGTTTCTCAAATTGTTAGGTTCAATCTGTGTATCTTTTTCGAAAAAGACTTTATCTAATTAAAAGTATGTA